GGACCTGGGCTAGGACTGGGTCTCCGTCACTGTGATTGGTGTGTGATTGTGATTAGATAACTGATTGTGTAAGAAATGCCCAACTAAATTGGGTCAGCATAGTTCTGGGTGTGGCTGAAGGGATTTACTGAGGACAGAAGATCCACCCTGGACATGGGTTGCACCAACAAATAGGTTTATAGCCTGAACAGATAAAGGGGAATGAAGAAGGTAGGCTGCTCCCTGTTTCCCCAGAGGCATTCCAGTCTTTACCTTCACCTTGGATGTTGTCTCCTGGATTTCACCACAGACCCATCAGCTCCTCATTCAGACTCACATGGAACACTGTGGTGAGCTCCAGGCTTTTGTCTGGATCCTTTGGTCTCCAGTACTTAGAGCTCTTACACTCCTCCACACCTGACTGTGGAGTGGCCACTGTAAGCCAGTCTTATAAATCCTTGTATATCTGTGTGTCTCACCTAATCAATTTCCTAGGGAACAGTGACTAATACAGTTGGTGATAATAGAACTGCACAGAGTGAATCATATAAATGCATCTCACTAATTCCAACTTAGTATAGCCTCGACTCAGCCTCCTTCCGGTCAGATTCTGAGAATGGCTGGTGCTTCCCCAGTATTACCTGCCAAGAAAGGACCTGTGATGGAGTTTAGGGGAGAGAAGTAAGACAGGCTTACAAACTAAAGTTACTGTTCAAAAATAGACTGTTTGGGAGATGTTCTACTTCACAGCAAAATTGACGGGAAGCATTATTGCCCCAGATCTGTAGTTTGCATCAGGGATACAGAGATCCAAGTTGTAATAAGGTGGAGGTGCGTCCATCCAAGCCCTTTGGGTCTTAATTTGGCCCAGGTTTTGCCAGTGTGGATATTTGAGAGCCTGGGAACACTGTGTATTAATGAGACTTGAGAACACTCTGTACATGAGAAGAGCTGGAGAATGGTTTCCTCTCCCTGCACCCCGCTACCACCCACCAGTGATTGCAGGTTGTGCAGAACCTCAGCATGCTTCTCCCTCAGGCAACCAACTCTGAGACACAGACTTTCCAAGCAAGGCTGAGCTCCTGTTACCCAGAGAACTGTATAATTGTGCCTCTTGCTTGGCTTCCTTCCCTATCTCCCTTCCCCACCTGCCTACTGGTTTGTGCTGGGATCATTGAAATAAACAACATGGGCTGGGACCTGGTCTGCTCCTCTCCCAGAGAATGAGACTGCAACTAGAAAGTGACCATGGCCCTCCTAGGACAGAGGGCTGTGTGAATGTGGGGCTCCAGTCTTGGGTTCCCTGAGCTTCAGGGTACAACCCTGTCCCCAGTCCTGCCGCACTTCTAGCCAATTGTGCTGTGGTCCTTTTGGCTCCTCTTACCTGGGCCCTGACCACCATTTGGGTGCCATTCCTATTTGTCTTTCTGCCATGGCTTGATGGAGTTTGTACCCTAGTGGGTCAGTGCTGGAAGCGGGGTCCCTGTGTGGTGATGCTGTGAGGGAGGTGGTGGAACCTGTGGGGAGGCAGCCTAGCAGGGCGACCAGGTACCGAGGGTGTTGTTCTCAGACAGAATTACTGCAGTGCCTCAGTTCACGAGCTTCTTTCTTTCACGATTCTGGTTGCAAACCAAGTTGGATAAGAACTGAATCAAGTTCAGTGGTTAGGGTCAGTGGTTGTGGGGAAATTTCATTTGTTACCAGAATTGTGGTAAGAAGTGAGTTTGTAAAGCAAGGTACCACAGTAAGAGGACTTTTGGGCAGACTCGGGTTGGTTTCATCAGAGTAGGTTTCTATGAAGAGGAAGTTTGGCCCCTGAGTCTATGCTTCCTAGTTCAGCTTTGCTTTTAGCACGATCCCACCACAATGCCCCCTTCTAGGTGTGGAGCAGGTGGGGGTCCTCACCTGGAGCAGAACGGGCTGCTGGGTTTAGACTTTCAGCCTCCAAAGTTGTAAGCTGAAGAAGCCCCATTTTAAAATAAAGTACCCTGACTCTGGCATGTTTGTGTAGGAACAGAGAACAAGCTGGTGTCTTCCCCGTTGCTCTCTCTGCCATCGTGGCCCTCTTGTCCCTCTGTGGGGTCTTTGTGCGTGCTCTCCTGGGTCCTCCCATGGCATGCAGCCCTTCCCCAGTTCAGAGTTCTTCCTCGAACTGCCCGCTCTGAGCACATGGGATAAGACCATGTATGCATGTTCTCCATCCTGGAAGGCAGCCCTCGGTAGAGGGATTTTGTCTTGCTTACTGAGTAATCTCTGCCTCTGGAACATGCTTGGCTTGTAGTAAATATTCAGAACCCACCCCCGAGAGCATGATTAAATGAATAAAAGATCAAATGGATTGCAGACTTTCAATGAAGAATACACCTAACAACGTATCATAGCTATTCGTTAGCTTTCAATTATGTTACTGGTTATTCTGTGCTTGAGTCATATTTATTTAAAAATGCATCGCCACTCCAAATGTTGCCGCTCTGGCCTTCAGCAGTCCAGTCCTCTGTGTGCTCAGCAGGGTGCAGTCAGTGCACTGCGCAGTGCTGCGTGAGAAAAGGCTGTGGTGTGCAGTCAAGGGAGGAGCAGCCAGCGATGGCTGAAGCTCCTCGGCCAGCTACAAGGACAGGAGGGGAGCAAGCCAGAGGGCTGGCTTTCTGCCGCTGTTTTGAAGGTTCTGCCCAAGCAGTGAAAATTGCCATCTGCTTCCAAGGCTATCTCATAGGTGACCTCAGCAATCATCTTTCGCTGAACCCCACGACACTAACTCAGAATTATCAACCTAGAGAAGTAGGAAAAACAGCTCGGTACCATTTTATTCATTAAAAAGAACTAGCCCTATTTTATTATCAAAGCAACAATTCAGAGAAGCACGTTTTCTAAAGGTATGCCATACAAGTTATTTTCTTGTGGAAATTTCAGAGCAAGAAGGAAAATATTGCGTTCACAAGAGAAAGTACACATCTGGTCGCACACTAGCCCTTTTTCTGTTCAGTGCTGGAGATATTTTCAGTTAAAGAAAAGTGACAACTTTGCCTCCAGGCTGAATTTTACAGTTCTTATCAGCAACAGCTGTGTTTATCTATCATAGCTGAACATTGTCAGAAAAAAATCAAGATTAACTATGAGCCTGGAGTTTTCAGACAGTCCCTAACAAAATAAGCATATTTCCACTACTCTGTACCCTTCACCCAGGTATGGGTAGCTTTCCTCCTTTCTAAAGGACACCCCACAAGCTCTCCTAGTGTACCCTTCCTCCTCTAACACACCCAAACAACTCCCCTAAACACATCACATGATAGAAATGGGGGTTGACATATAATGAAGCTGATGTGTTAGAAGTCAAATTGGGTTAAAGAGGGAAAAGCCCAGCTCCCAGCAACTCTCTTTTGGTAAATACTGGGCTCAGCCCAAAGGGAAGAAGCCTTGCTGGATGGCTCTGGGAAATTACTAAACCACTCTATTCCTCTGACTCCTCATCTGTAAGACAAAGATGAGGACAGGACTATCTTTGCAGGGAACACATTCTTAGAAAGTTTCAAGAATATTTGGAGCTATGGCATCTACATCTGCATACACTTACGGCTTCCATCCCACACAGCAATGTTCAGTCTAGGCTGCATTTTGAGGTATAGGCTCCAAGAGATTTTGAAGAAGTCCCTCTCTTCATTGTCTAATCATCCTGGTATGTATCAGACTCTTGAGAAATGGTAGAAATGTGTGCGAGCCCTGTATAGCTGGGGAGAAACAAGTCCCTCTCTAATTAACTAGTTAGCACAAATTAATTCCACAAGCATTAAATAATAAACTGCACCAGATGTGCTCTGAAGCAGAGATGCCAAAGTGGAAAGATGTGTTCTGTGCCCTCAGGGTGCTCACAGTCCAGTGAGTTTACGCTGTGCCCAATTTCAGGTGACAGCGCAGCAGTGAAGGCTAGCTTCATCCTAGCCTCCATGCTGGAGCTTGCCCATCCCACTGTCAGGCTTCCATATCCACCGTGATGGGCTTATTTATCCTCTCAAAGATCTTGTCTTGTGAGAAGACTAGATGTCTCATAGTTTACGTATTCCCTTGCTGGAAAAAAGCTTTTCATCTACCAAAAAAAAGTATTCGTGAAGAACTGGAGTAGATATGCTGAAGGTCTAATCGCCTTCCATACTTGGAAGAAAGCCCCCATCTGACTCTCCAGGCTTTTTATTTCCTAGGAACTAGTCTGGATAGATCAAATGTCAAGTTCACATGGTATTTTCCTTATTATTATTATTTTTTTTCTTTTTATGATTTCCTGTTGAGGCTGGTGAAACAGCTCCACGGACTAACATGTCTGCTTAGGTAAGCTCAGGCTAGCACAGGGACAGTGGTTCGATCCCTGGCACCATATGCTGCACCAGCCACACCCTCAGGATGGGCTGAGCCAGCCGGAGTCTGGGCGTGGTGGTGCATGTCTGTAATCCCAGCACTGGGGAGGCTGCAAATGGGAGGATCAATATGAGTCCAAGCTGTGTAGTGAGACCCTGTAACAACCAAATACATTAAAAAAAGAAAGAAAGAAAGAAAGAAAGAAAGAAAGAAAGAAAGAAAGAAAGAAAGAAAGAAAAGATCCCATTGAAGGTTTAAGAAAGTGCTTTCACTTCAAATAAATTTTTGGAATCCTTTGGATTGCTTAAAACTTGTCAGATTATGCTGAATTGAATACAGTGCTTAATTTTACACAAAAGAAATACTTTAAAAACTTGCCTAAAAATCTAATAAGGGGAAAAAATTGAAGACTGAAAAACCTTAAGATTCCCTTTAAAGAGCTGTAAGTGCTATATGACAGTCTAAAAGGTCTTAGTTTTGAGTTTGAATTCACAATGGCCTTGTACTCTTGACATTGTTCTGTTCCTTTCTTGAAGTCTCTCCATTATGGCCAGCTCACAAAAACATGGCTAAATTAGTTTAATGTCTAATAGAGCATACTCATAGCTATTCTTTAAAAATGCAAATCTACTCTCTTTGTCATTTGTTTCCAGTGATCTAATTTGCATGTAAAAGCATGGTATGGTGGCCAGACTCCAATGTGGACTCAAAGGACCACACTTTGTCACCTGTGCCCTCATGAGAACTCTTTCCATTGACCATGTCTTGGGTTAACCGACAGAACATGGACATGGAAGTGGTTCTGAGCGAGTTCTATGAGTGAACCTTCTGAGCCCTCCTTTTGGGACATGTGCTTCCAGGAGTGCTGGGCTGACAGGAAGCAAATTTCACTACTCTGAGATCAAATGGAAGGTAGCCAAGGTCCAGCAGTTTCAGATGACTCCAGTGCTAGCTGCCATCTGATTCCAATTATATGAGAGATTTCAAAAGAGACCAGCAGAAGAACCACCCTGCTGAGACCAGCCACCCATAGAAAGGCAGTTTTGGCTTTTTTTTTTTTTTTTGTACTGGGATAGAACTCAGGACCTTATTCTTGTCAGGCAGGTGCTTTTGCCACTGAGCTCTCTCCCCAGCGCAAAAAGGCAGTTTTGAGCAGCAAGTTAATAGCATAAATGACAAACTTGTTAACCAGAAGATAGCCTCTGTTTACCAAAATGAATTGCTTTCTTCACAGAAAGTCATACACTAACTTGAAGGATTTTGATGTCAAATCAAGCTTATTCTTGCCATCTAGATTAGTGAGTATCCTACTTATTTCTGATCAAAAAACTCATCAAAAAGTGGGAGTCTTTCTGTCCTGGTCCTCACTAGTGGCTGAGGTTTTTTCTCATCTCTGCCTGGTTGCTCTGAGTCAGAGCTTGAACTGTCCCAGAGTAGCTGTCCATGGCTTTCTTGTTCATGGAACCACATTTCCAGTTTGCCCATTTTCCAGGGACAATATTCATTCCTTGCTTGACCTTCCAAAAGTTCTGCATCCTGTGAATTTCCTACAAAAAATGAAAAGTTATCTCAACTTAATTTTTTGTAGCAATTCTTTTAGTTTAGTTAAGTGCCTAGGTTTTTGTGAATACAGAATAATTTGAGTTTTTAAAAAATATACACAAACATGTATATTTCTGTTATCCCTGTAAGCATCAAAAATATTTAGTTGTTATTTTGAAAAACTTAAGTCCTTTGAAAGTCACAAGAATAGTACAGTGTATACCAATATCCTCAAATAGCCATCTATTTATAGCATTTTACACAATATCACTTTCAGCTGAGCCACTTAAGAATTACTTGTAGTCATCCCCTCTAAATATAGCCTCACAAATCTCTTAGGAACAAGGGTATTTTTCTTATATAACTACAGCGCAATGAGTTCACTAGAAAATCTAACACTGATACAAGGCTATCTAATATCTTGGGTTTGGAACTTAATTTGTTTTAAGATTTGGGGAAGGGGGTGTGCTTATGTTTGTGTGGGAGCAGATGGCTGAACTATGTGCAAATGGGAACATTTGTGAACTGAGGTCTTATTGTATATGATCCTTATTCAAATATCTATCGGGGCTCAAATAAAGCCCTTGATAGCTGGCTTTTGTTTTCTTCTTTTAGGTGCAGGAATCAATCTAGGGTCATACATTGTACCTCATTTTCTCATCTCCTTGTCTTTTTTTTAATTAAAAAAAATCTTACCTCTCTTTTCCTCTCTCTCCCTCTCTCCTTCTTTTTCTATCTTCACTGTCTTAATTTTTTTTGTTAAAACTGATATTTCAAAGAATCCATGTTTGTTATCTTGCAGAATGACCCTAGACTGGGCATTTTAAAATGTTTCCTTGTGGTTAAATTAAAGTTAAACATGTCGGACAAGGCTATTGGGTACATGCTGTTTCTCAGTGCTTTTTACTGGGTGCTAGACTAAGAACACAAGGTTCACATTGAACATTCACATCAACAGACTTCATTGGGAACTAGGAATTCAATGGGTCAGTCAGCTTTATATATA